GTAAGCCGCCCCGAGGTTTCGGCAAGGGGCGGCATAGAAATGTTATAATAATAATAATAATAATAATAATAATAATAAATGTTAGTTGTTCCTTATTGTAAGCTGTGGACAGGGTAGAAAAGTTTTAAATAAATAAATAGTAACTACCAGCCTTGCTGGCCTTGCACTCCCTCCTTCAGCAGAGGTGGCCTGTGGCCACACGCCCATCGCTGAGCAGGCGGAGGGCTTGCACCCGTCCTGCTGGAGGGATCCTGGGGGCAGCTGGTTTGCCACCGTGTGCACAGAGCCCTTAAACGGATGGACCTCTGGTCTGACCCAGCAGGGCTTTTCTTCTCGTCTTATGCAGCTTTCCCCAACCGGGAGACCTTCAGAGGCGTTCGAACGGCAACTCCCAAAATCCCCATCCACCAGGACCATTAAGCGGGAATGCTGGGTGTTGCAGTACAAACATTTCTGGAAGGCACGAAGTTGAGGAAGGCTGTTCTTTTGCTTAAATTTCTGGCAAATGGGGACAGCTCTTAAGATCTACTCTCTTGACTGCTGTCACACACGTGTGTTTCTGTAGTGCTGTTCTAAAAAAATCGTTTTTAAAAAACTCGCAGCATACCTGTTTGTTAACCTAGGCATTGCATAGCTTCTCTCAGCCTAATGGTAAGTTAGGGAACTATCGGCGGTCGGATGCTCCTTTCTTTTGCATGTGAGGTTGCAGAAGGGTTAAAGCGACTGAGTTTGCAGTTGCTAGAGAGACGGCGGAGGAAACTAAGAGTAAGGGGGAGGAGGTTAGATGGGTTGCAAGTTCCTTCCTGTTGCTGGAGGGGAGGGGAGGAGAAAGGGGTTAGTTTGGGGGTTGTTGGGCGGGGAGGGGGGGCGAGGCGTGCAATGTGGATCCCGCCCCAGGACTTGCACTGCGCATCGCATTCGTCCTGCAGCCTCTTTGCAAAGGTGAGTTTCGTGCCGGGGAGGCAGTTGCAGGTGCAAAAGTATCTCCTCCTGAATCATGAATCTATCAAAGAGAGGAAATCGCAGAAAGAAGAGAAAGGGAGTTGAGCCACTCGTGAGTGCCTGAGCGCGGATGCGCTGCTTCCCTGCGCCTCATGCACGCAACTACTCCGGTGGCGACGCAAGGGGAGTTACTTCCGAGTAAACGCGTGTGTCTACTCAGACCGCAGCGCCGTTAAGTTTGGTGAGACTTTACTCCCCGGTAAGTGCGTGCGGAAACCTCCGCCAGTCTGGGGGCCCTGCAGGTGTGTGAGGCTTCAGTTCCCATCAGCCCCAGTCCTCGTGGCTAATGGTTGGGAATGCTGGGAGTTGTAGTCGAAGATATCCAGAGGGAGTCAGGTTGGGGGAGGCTGGTGTACCGAATGCCCCCCTTCCCCGGTGCCGCCGTAAGCCTTGGAGTCGCGTTTGTTTCTGAACGTGCACAGTGCTGGATTGTGTCCCCGGCGTTCCCCATACATGCTGGGGAATAAGCGTGTGTAAGACTTGGATTCGAATTCCCATCAGCCTTCAGGCTCACTGCATGACCTTTCTATTCCACACTCTCCTAGCCTAGCCTACCTCACATGGTTGTTGTGAGTTTAATGGCGAAGGTTTGGGAAGAACACACACGTTTCCTTGTGCTCTTTGGAGAAAAAGGTGTGCTAGGAATGGAGCGGACTAATACATGATCTTTCTAAAACAAAGTGTCAGGTTTGGCACTGCCAAGGCAGCCTGCCTCAGTCTTGGGGGTGGTGGGACATGATTCCCTCTGGAAGTTTTGGCTTACAACTCCCATGATCCTCCACCACTGGCTGTGCCTGCTGGGGCTGATGAGGATAGTAGGCCAAAACGTCTGGTGGCGGGACCTGACATGTCTCGGAGCCCAGGTCCATCATCCCCAGCCAGTATTGCCAATGGTAAAGAATGCTGGGAACTGTAGTGCTGTACATTTGGAGGGCACAAAGTTTGAGAAGGTTGGGTTTGAGAACACACTGCGATTCAGGATGTAACTAGTTAAAGTTACTTTGGCATTTTACTTAGCTTTAAGGGCAATTAGATAATATTGTGGCCCTTTTTTCTGTCTGTTTGCAGAAGTTTGTCTCTTTAATCAAGGTAGTCCCAGCCTTCATGGTTGCAATATGAGGCTACTCTACAGAGCTGTTGTGTATTGCATTGAACCCTAAAAATGCTGCATCAATGTGTAGTTAATTACACTCCCTTCCAATGCAGTTTCTGTTGGGAAGGACAGCAAGCGAATGAGGCTAACTTTTAGGTGCTTTGGTTGCAGTGTATTAGGGTAGAAATGTTATTTATTCTTCTATGCCATGTATTGGGATGCTTACAAGGAATAAATGTTATATTGTGATTTCATTAAAAAAAACCTTACTTTTAAAAAAGGAATTATATGCTGCCACACTGGTATTTTCAAAGGCAGCTTAGAGATAAGCATTTACAGTTTTAAAACAGTAGTGCAAATGAGATTAATTTCAAATATCTTAAAATGCAAGGCTTTGGACACAACCTATAGCCATCTAGACGGTCCTTAGGATGAATCGGAGAGCCACCTCCGACCATGGAAATGTTTTCTGAAGTCAAAAGCAGATTGCAACTGCAGAGTGGTTGTTTCTGCACCAGCTCAGGCTCCAAAGTTGCCCTTTTATTGCAAGGCGGTCCTTGCCTCTATATTCCTCTCACCTTCCCGTGGATGTCTGTACTCCTCTGCATTTGGGTGGTTATAGGCAGGTGCTTCGGATGGAGGCCTCCATCAAATGTTAGTTGGGGAGGAAAAAACTGTATAACTCTAAAATGTATAGAATTTATGTATTTCAAACCCCAAAGGAAACCCAAGTTAGCTAAGACATCCAACAGCACACCTGATAAGAGACATTTTTCCTGGGTTGCTCCCATTAAAAAACAAAAGGAAAACCCCAAATATTCATGACACTGTGTTTTGTGTACATATTATCCTTCAATATTATATTCATGGTGGTTTTCAAAAATAGAGTAATATGAAGACATCAGAAACAATTGGTCTGGACTGTTGCAGTATAAAAGGTAAAGGTAAAAGTTTCCCCTTGACATTAAGTCCAGTCATGCCCGACTCTAGGGGGCGGTGGTCATCTCCGTTTCCTAGCCGAGGGAGCCAGCGTTTGTCTGCAGAAGGTCTCTGTGGTCATGTGGCTCGTATGACTAAACACCGCAGTGCACGGAACGAACGCTGTTACCTGCCCAGGAGCGCTGTTACCTGCCCACCGAAGTGGTACCTTTTTATCTACCTGCATTTGCATGCTTTCGAACTGCAAGGTTGGCAGGAGTTGGGGCTGAGCAACAGGATTCAAACCGGTGACCTTTCGATCGACCAGCCCAGCAGCACAGCGGTTTAAACCACTGTGCCACCTGTAGTATACAGAATGCAAACATTCATAGTCAGGTAAAAAAGACATCATTATCATTAGATAATGATTCCTGAGTTAAGGGCACAATCCAGTCCCCCCCCCCCCCCCGCCCTGTCTGTGCAAATAGGATTAAATGAGTCCCAACCCCAACATCCTCCAACCTTGGAGTTGGTGTTCCAAAAAGACCACTACCTCTCCGAGGTCAAATTCCAGCCTTGGAGGGGGGAAGAAGGGGTATGCCCAGGGTGGAGAGAAAAGAAAGCTAGGGATGAGGCAGAGCCGAGATTCTGACATGGAATGTTATTTTATTGGGTTGGCTCCATACTTTAGCCATGCTTAGAGTAGAGCCAGTGTGGTGCAGTGGTTAAGAGCATGGGACTGGAACTCAGAGGATCTGGGTTCTAGTCCCCGCTCAGCCATGGAGCCAACTGGGGGACTTTGGGCCAGTCACAGACTCTCAGCCCAACCTACCTCACAGGGTTGTTGTTGTGGGGATGAGATGAGAGGAGGAGAGATGATGTAAGCTGCCTTGAGCCCTTTGTAGGAAAAAGGCAGGATATAAATCGCAATATATATATATATAAATAAATACATACAGTTGATTTAGATCCTGTTGCTCCCAGTGGATCTGCTCAAAGGAACAGTGTCTGAATTGAACTCCTTGTTTATCACTTTACCGGCTGCCCCAGGGAATATCAGTTTGCGAAGGAACAGCATAGAAATGATATAAGTAATTATGATCACTAGGACCAACAAGTCCCTTTCTGAACAAGTCCCTTCATAAGGATTAACTTCCGTCAGCAGTATAGGATGTTTTAATTTTTTAATGGTTAGGCAGTATTTGTGCTTTTTAGCAACCTTCATAGCCCAGTATCGGTAAGGTAGATATGAAGCTTCATTTTATGTTCTGAATAAAACAAATTTAGATTCAGACATTTTCCATGAGCAGCAGAAAAGGTAGAAGAACCTAAGTGCAATAACATCGATGACCATTCAAGCCTTTTTATTACTATGCCTTTGACCTACGGCAACCCCATGAATGAAAGCCCTCCAAAGTGGCCCTACTCATCTTTCCCAGATCCAAGGCTGTGGCTTCCCATTAAAAATTAAGATTAAAGTGAGCAACAATAGTCATTATTATTACATTTTTATCTCACTCTTACTCCAGTGATCTGATATGCTACACAGAGTATACCCCCTCCGTTCTATCTTCATAACAACCCTGCGAGGTAAGTTAGTCTGAGAGTGACTAAGTGACCCAAACGCCGTACTTTGTAGCTGTGTGAGATTTGAGCCAGACTTAGTCCTGTGCTGTAACCATTACACCACACCGCCATATAAGAAAACACAATGGAAATGCATTATATCCTTTTGTCATGCAGCTCTCGTGTGGCCAAAAGCGGAATCTGGACATGCCGTTCTGGGCCCGCTCCCCAGCTGCGTTTGAGGACAAAACCCAGAAGTGACAAGAGGGTGAAATCAGAGCAAAGGTGGTGGAATTGGCCAGAGTTGCCCCTTGATCTGGGGAAGAGCAAATGGCGTCCAAGGAGGCGAAAGAGCAGCTGGCGCTCCCCTTGCAACTCCAGGAATATTTTTCGACAAAACGATTGGGTGATAAAATGGCAGGACGGAGCCCATCATGTCCCAGTGGGCAAGGAGATGTTTCTGGCAGGACCGGCTTGAGTAACCACAGCACCCTGGTGAAAAATGAAGGCTTGAGGGCATGCGAGAAAGAGGCTCTTGGGAGTGGGGAGGCATCTCTGCTGGAACTGAACACCCCCCAGCTTGCTCCGCGCTGGGAGGATCTATTTCTGTCCTCTGTTGAGAAGGCGATCGACACCCAACCAGGAAAATGGATGTCCCACATCATCCCAGGCCTCAAAGAAGAAGGACAGAAGTTTGAGGACCGGGACAGGGGAGACTTTGGGAAGGTGAAGGCCGCCATCCTGCGGGTTGACGCGATCAGCACAGAGGTGCAGCGGCAGCACTTCCGCCGATTTCTGTACAAGGAGGCCAACGGGCCCCGCGAGGCCTGCAGCCGGCTCTGGTTCCTCTGCCACCGGTGGCTGAAGCCCGAGCGGCACAGCAAGGAGCAGATCCTGGAGCTGCTGATCCTGGAGCAGTTCCTGGCCATCCTGCCCCCGGAGATCCAGAGCTGGGTCAAGGAAGGCTGCCCGGAGACCTGTGCCCAGGCAGTGACGTTGGCAGAGGACTTCCTGGTGAGGCAGCGGGAGGCTGATACGCCGGCACAGCAGGTGAGACTTTCGTAGGTTCGCCCTTTAAGGATGCATAGATGCCGTGACTCAGATTCTCCAGGGGTATTTAGCCAGAGGGCTGATCTGTCAGCAAGGCTGTTGGTGCAGGTCTCCTGCCTAGACAGCCAGGCCTAGTCTGGTTAAGTGGTTAAGAGCATGGGACTGGGACTCAGGCGACCTGGGTTCGAGTCCCTGCTCAGCCATGGAGCCCAGCCTTCCTTGCAGGGTTGTTGTGGGGATAACACTGAGAGCAGGAGACTTGTGTAAGCTGCCTTGAATTCTTTAAAAAGAAAAAAGGCAGGATATAAATCTAGTGAAAAAATAAAATAGAACATAGGGAGCTTGGATAATCTCTGGTGAGCACCCTTCCTGCTTTAAAATGCTGCATGATTAAAAACTGTACTTGTCTGACCCTCCAGATATTGTACAGTTCATTCAAATAATTGTAATAAATGTAAATGATGGAGGAGGTGACTCTTATTATTAATTATATTTCTGTACCACCCATGGCCAAAGCTCTCTGAGCAGTTCACAACATTAAGTCACCCATCCACCTTTCAACCAGGCCAGACTCTGCTTAGCTTCCCAGATTGGGCGTTTCAGGCTGTTTAGAAGCTAGGCGTGAGTATATTACAACTGCAATACTTGACAGCCGTCTGGAGTTGCAAACTTACTCAGACACTGCCTATCCGAATCAAAGGCCTTCTGGCAAATGGCTCCCCTGAGGGCATTTCAGGGGGTGGCCACAAGGGGGAGGCCTGCTCAGTTGCTCCTGAATGGGATCTCTCCATCTTGCATCTTCAGGAACTGGGATTGTATGAAGAGGCTGGGGCAAGCTCCCCACGGGCAGAGGAAGCATCATTGGACGCTAAGGAGCCCAGGTGTCTGGAGGTCAAACTGGAGGGAGTCAGGAACATTGGTGCGTTAGGTAAGGGTGCGTGCTTTGCTTTTATCACTTGAAAGCTCCTTGAAATGTGTTGGCTAATATCAGATCGCAAAGACACAGAGCCACAGAAGTTGTGGCCTGCAGCTGTAGATATCTCTCTTCCCATGGCCTGGTTTACAGAGCACAAAGCACAGTACAGGTTAAGGGTGGGTTGTCATGATCTCCGAGTTGTTCTTGAACTGTGGGTTGTTGTCAGCTGTGCTAAGAAACCATGGTGGGTTAAACATGAATAACCCACTTGTTGGGTTGTGAACTTTTGGCATAAACTCAATGGCCCACAATTCAAAAACAGCCTGTATTCAACAGCTGGATTCAGACAACACAGCAAGCCATGGTGGATTTTTTTTTTACCATTCCTGGTCTGTCATGATGTCTATTGTGGTAATTCACTATGGTAACTTTTGGCTTTAGAAATCACGATAGGAAATGATGGTGTATTCTATTGTTTCTCTGTACCATCATGGCTTGTTGTGTTGTCTGAACCCAGGATTATGGTTTCCATGGTGCTGGTCTGCAGCTGTCATAGAGTACCCTGGAAAGAGTGGCTGCTGCAGGAGCCACTCCAGCCATCCCGCATCTATGTGTGTGAACCAGTGAGGGAGGAGCAGCTTATACAGGCAGGGAGCAATGCACCTTGGGATTGAATTTCAGGCACAGTGGCTGATGGGATATATACCAGCACTGAGAAGATTAAGTGGGGAGAATGGAAAACATAATAATGAAAGAAACCACACAATTGTCTGTCAGGTCACGGTAAAAAAGAACACAAGCATGGTAACTGCATAGAGTTGCTTTCTGAGTTCTGTGAATATAGCCAGCGTGGACTCTGCCTTGCCAGGTTGTACAATCCCAGTCTAAAAGTGAACCCAGGCAACCCAAAGGTTCACAATCCAGCTACAAGCCATGGGATCTCTTCATGGGTTATTCATATTTAATAAACCACAGTTTGGTAGTGGTGCTGGTTTCATGTAACTCAGCAGCCCACAATGGAACAGCAACCTGTTGTTCAACAACATCCATACTAACTTGTATCTGGCTTTTCATGTTGTGTGAACACAGCTTAAAGGTGCTCGGAGCTGGAGGAAGCTCTTTCTTGGAAGCTAGAGATCATTCTCAAGAAAAATGCATTTAATCTGAATCACTATGAGCAGGACTAAATATCTTGGAGGTCAGCCCCACTTTACACATGGAGGATGGCATCCATAGTAGAATTGGATGTCCCTAACAGCAGACGTCTGAATGTACCTAAGATGGTCACTGGATCCAGAGAACACTAGATTGTCTTCTCACTAACTGTCCCCCAAATACTTAGATTTCAGTTTTGAGGAATTCAGGAATCCTAGTTCGAGAAATGCAGCATGCCTTTTGAGCGCTTAGGGTTCCGTGCCTTCGTTTCAGTGTTGACTACACTGGGCTAGATAGACCAAAGGACTGCCTTATTATGAAAAGAGCATCTTATATTCCCCTTTAATTCCCCCCCTTTATTCAGACCCATGAGGACTAGAATCTTACTTTATCATTAGGCAAATAGCTCCATGGTAGAGCCACTGCTTTGCACGCAGAAGGCTCCAGGTGTAGTTTTGGGAGAGGTCCACCTGACAGCTCTGTGGTCTCCCAGGGCTCACACACAGGTGCCAGATTTATTTATTTATTTAATTTCTGTGCCACCCAATAGCCAAAGCTCTCTCTGGTGTAGGAAACCCAGTTTTGAGAGGTTATTTTCTTGTTGTCTCATTTACTAGAATCCCATAAGGCTGCAGTTAACACCAATCTTAGAGTAAACGGCATCAAACTCACTGAAAATTACTATGCTTAAGCTATTTCAAGGGTTGTAGTCCAGCATTACAGCCCCCGTGTGAAACCCCAAAAAACCCGTCCCAGGCCTGGGCTCACAGATCTGACACTACATAAGGCAGCCTTCACCATCCAGAAATTCTGTAGAGGGTAAGAAGTCAGGAATGCAATGACACTCTTTCCCTCTTTATCTTATTTCCTTTTCTTTCTGAGTAAGTATTGATTCCAGTTTTGCTTAATTGAGTTTACTTATATACATAAAATATTTACTCTTATATGAGGGGGTCTTGTCTTTGGGTCAAAATATTATTCTCTTTACATCTATTAGTAAATTAAGTGTTAAGACTTAGGAGACAGGAGTGGCAACACACAAGTGCATTAAGTATGTCTGTTATAACACACAACGTATTGAATTATGAAACACATCCATTCGTTTTCAAGTGCACATGTTATTTGTGTGTTGTGTCCGTACTCCGATTGGTCATTTGGCAAGGAGTCCTGAGTTCATCTGTTTACAAAGGCGTTTACCTCTCATCCAAAGGCACCTGCTTGGGTAATTACAAATACTTAATTATAATTTATATTATCATCTATTTCAAATATTAATGTCAATAATTTAATTATGTATTAATATTATTATTTTATAATTCAATCCATCTGTTGTGTGTTGCAATGGACATACTAAATGCGTCTGTCTGGCTGACAGTCAATTGGGGCTTATTTTTGGGGTAGGGCTTATATTATGAGCATCCTGAAAAATCACGCTAGGGCTTATTTTCCGGTTAGGTCTTATTTTCAGAGAAATACGGTACCCCTGAATTTTAGGGTTACTGATTTGTAAGCGCTTTTTAAATCTGGTGCTTCATTATGAAAGAATCCAGGAAACTCACAAATGCTTTAAAAAACACTTGCGCTGTTGTAATTACTTTGTTGTGTGTTTTCTAAATGACATTATTGTGCTGTTGCCATCCCCAAACTGGCCCCCTCCAGACAACTTGGAAGACAACTCCCATCCTCCCCAGCCACCATAGTCAGTGGTGGGAGTTGTGGTGCCAGTGTGGGAAATCTGGTGCAGCATCGATGCTCTTGTTGTAAAGCTCCTTGTGTACGTGTGGCCCAGAGTTAGCTGTACTTTGATTCAACCCATTGACGTCAATGGGACTTAAATATGTTGTGCCTTCAGAAAAGCACACTGACTTTCATGGCTCCCTTGCAAGGATGGCTAAGTCTGGAACCAGCCCCTGTTCCATTTCTTGTAGTCTTGCTAAGGCTCATGGCTAACAAAAACTAGGTGTGATTGTTGGTGGTGCTAATCCTGTGCCATTTCTTTGGTGTTTCTTCTGGTTTGCCCAGGTGATTTGGACATCAGTGAGAATAATGCAGAGAGTCCCCAACCAGATAAGGGCGAACATGAGCCAGGTGGGACAGCAGAGGGAAGGATGGAACAACCTTTCCCCCTTTGTAGTGAGCAGGCAGATGATCCCAACTCGCAGAAGAGGCCCGAGAAGCCACCAAAGAAGCCCCCACGGAAGAGGGTCCAAAAGTCCATTCCGTTGACGGGGGGTTATGAAGACCTCGCTGTAGTCACACCAGAAAAAGAAGCCAGCCAGGATGAGCCCCCTATCAAGATAATAGTATGTGAAGACAGCTTCAGTCCGGGCGTGGATCATGGAGGAGAGAAAATCCACAAGTGCTCCGTGTGTGGCAAGTGTTTCAGTCTTCGCTCACGCTTGATTGTCCACGAGAGAACGCACACGGGAGAGAAGCCGTATACCTGCTCCGACTGTGGGCGAAGCTTCAGCGTGAGCTCCAGTCTCATAGCTCATCGGAGAACTCACACAGGAGAGAAGCCTTACAAATGTTCGCACTGTGCAAAGAGCTTCAGCGTGAAGTCGGGGCTGATCGCGCATGAGAGGACTCACACGGGGGAGAAGCCCTATAAGTGCTTGTACTGCAGCAAGAGCTTCCGTCGCAATTCAGGCCTCGTCAGCCACCAGAGAATCCACACTGGCGACAAGCCATACCAGTGCTCAGTGTGTGAGAAAAGCTTCAGTGATATCTCCAACCTCATTACGCATCACCGGATCCACACTGGAGAGAAGCCATATAAATGCTTGGAGTGTGGGAAAAGCTTCAGCCAGAGCTCATACCTTAATAGCCACCAGAGAATCCACACAGGGGAAAAGCCCTACGAATGCTCTGAATGTGGGAAAACCTTCAGTGTGAGCTCTCGTCTTAGGAAACATCAGAGAAGCCACACAGGTGAGCGACCATTTATATGTTTGGACTGTGGGAAAACCTTCAGTGAAAGCTCAGATCTCCTTGCACACGAGAGGGCGCACACTGGAGAGAAGCCCTATCGATGCTCCTTCTGTGGGAAAAGCTTCTTGCGTAGCTCAGAAGTAGTTAGCCACGAAAGAATCCACACTGGTGAAAAACCTTACCAATGTGGGGAATGCGGAAAAAGCTTCAGTGTGAGCTCACGCCTTAGTGCGCACCGGAGAATCCACACCGGGGAGAAGCCTTTTCAGTGCATGGTATGTGAGAGAAGCTTCAGTTACAAATCACACCTCATTACTCATCAGAGAATACACACTGGTGAGAAACCCTTTCAGTGCTCAGTCTGTGGGAAGAGCTTCCGTGGAAGTTCTAGCCTTGTAGCACATGAGAGGACACACACAGGGGAGAAACCATACCGGTGCTTGGACTGTGGGAAAAGCTTTACTCAGAGCTCAAACCTTATTAGTCACCAGAGAATCCATGCAGAAGGAAATTCCTGAAAAAATGGCCAGAGCAGGCCCAGTAGCTTGTTTCACCTCCTCATCTCCTTTTCTGAAAGACTTACGTCTTTGATACTTTGGTAGTGGTGCCTCTTCTCTACACCGGGAGGGACATTTTTCAACAGTTGTGCAATAGCAATCAGTCATTCTCTTTTGCAGAACAGAGCAGAGCACTGGCATAAAACCATTTTTAAAAGAACAGGGATTTTGGGAGCCCAGCTGCAGAAAGTAGGTGGTGTTGAATTGTTTGCTCTGTGAAAATGGAGGCGTCTGTTGCATAAAAAGGACCGCATAAGAACATCTCTTAAATGACTGTCACACGTCTGGTTTCTGGATCTTTAGGAGGTTTTCTTCCTTCTTCTGGAAGTGGGGGAAAGAGAATCATACAGGCTTGCACTGTGGGGAGCTCAGACTGGAAGATGTTGAAATCTTCCAAAAAAGGGATGAAATCTTTGGAAGCGTGACCCTGCCCACTTGTCCTTTTATTTCGGTGTTATCTGTAAGATGACAATAATTCTGCTAGCTGAATGCTGCTCTGTAAAAGGGCTGATTTCTGCCACAACAGAGAAACGCTCAACCGACATTCTGACCTGGAGAGTTGCTGGAGTACGAGCAGAGAAAAGAAAAAGACGGGTGGGAGTGATGCAGTATTGTGACCCCACACTTCAAATCTCATTTCTGGTCTCCACAATGTTGTTCTCTTTTATATATATACCTCTCCTCCCACCCCCAAAAGAAAACCCCCTAGAGACTGATATTAGGAATTGTTACACGGCTTGCTAATGTTGCAACGAATTTCCATGGAATCTGTCCCTCTAGCATTTGTAGACTTCCTTTTGCGTTTGGTCCGGTCGTAGAAAGCAAGCTGAATTGAGCGGAGGCCCGCGTACGCTCAGCCCTGGCATTCTGCATGATCAAAAGCAGCGGTGTGTGACATGGAAGGCGATGCTATTTGCCCAGCGGTCCTGCAGGACTCGGTGCCTGGTGAGGAAGTCAGATTCACGACCACAGCAAAGCAGACGGGAGTTCAGGCAGCTGAGCCAGGGAATCCAGTGGATTCCCACCCTGAAAATGAATTCCGCACACACCCCGAGGCTTAGTTTTCGTTCTGAGACCCTACCTCAGTATGGACAGAAAGTAGCTCTCCAGAAGGGTAGGACTTTAACCTCCAGACAACTGTGGCAGGATAGGTAACGATCAGGAGCTGGAGTCTAAACCACAACTTTGTGCTCACCCTGGCCTGAGATGAAAACAAAAACGGCACAGAGGAAGAAAGAGAAAGACAGGAACTAGAAATGAGTATTTAGGCATGTTTTTAATCTCTCCCCCGTTTTGTTCCTTACTAACAAACAGCTTGCTTCTGCAGTCCGCAGAATGAAGCGGTAAATCTTTGCTTGGACGGTGCCATGCTATGCAGTCAGGGAGTTGGCATTACATGTGGGAATGTTCCCATTTTATGTTCCATAAAAAAATGATATACCTTTGCAGGTAGATAAATAGAATGAAGAGTGAGGCTTTGGGCCAGAAATGACAGCTAATGCAAAATTCAGTGGTGAAGTTACTGAATGTGGCCACTGCATTTCCCTTTTGTGCTTGCTGTCAGAATGTAAACAAAATGCCACGTTCAAGGTGAATTTACTGATATGGGGCTCCAGATAACTTGGGACCAGGCTATCTGAGGAAGCATGTTTTCCCCTATTAACAAACTTATTCGTTGTCATTTATAGGTTGGTTCCTACTAATTGTCCCACCCCTGCACAGGTACATCTGACAACAATCAGGGGAAGGGGCTTTTTGGTGGTGGCCCAAACTCGGTTTGAAGTTCTCTGCCCTATGAGAGGCACCAAGCTTGATGGTCTTTTGGCACCCATTAAAAACTCATTTGTTCAACTGGGCATTTGCTGCTCTCACTGTGTAGATGAATGGGATGCTAGCATTTCTGGTTTTAATTTTCAAATTTAATTTCATATGTTACCCTGGGACTGGCTGATAAAGCATGGTATATAAATACTTGAAGTACATTAAAATATGTAGGCAGGCTGAGAGCTTCTCCCTGAGATGCTAGTTTTCTACTTTCAGGTTCACCAGAACAAATGCACGCATTCAAATGTTAGTCTTCCTTCTTGAAGTGGCACAAGTCCAAGGGTAACATCAATTTTGTGAATTGTATAAGCGAGCCCAATGTCTGGGGTAGGTGATTCCTTTGTTTTAAAAAAGTATCAGTAGAGAATAAGGATTAGTTATAAGTTGGGAGGCTTTGTTGAGCAAACTTAGAAGAAAAAAGACGGCAGGATGGGAATGATAAACTTGGAAGAAATAACCTGTGTAGTAGGGAGACCCAGCATGAGTATTTAAGGTCTTTTCATTTTTAAAACAATTTAATCCGGAGCAGACTATCCAAAAATTTCAGGCACTGAGATGGTGGTACACGTGCACACAGATGAAAATGTATTTAAAATATGCGTGTGTGTGGTGCAGGAAATGGTTTATATGTTAGCTGACATCCCTTTGAAATAGCTATTTTCTTCCTGCAACATTGACACAAGGCAGATTTCCCAAACTGGTCTTGTATACTCAGTTCTCAGCTTTTTGGTTAAAGAGCAAACATAATCTTTTGATGCTTTTACAAGTGGGTTGGTCTGGGAGTGCTTCTGTCTTGATTTAAAAATAAAAGACAAACAATAAACAAGAGAAGACAAGACTTTTTTTAAACACCAGCTTTCAAGGCTGTAATTTATAGAAAAGGTGCAAACCTTCTCTGGGATCCCTGGATGACAATGACACCTTCCCCAGATCCTGGCCCCTTCATCCTGTTTAGCAGTCCTTGGGTGATGTCCTAGTTTTGATGGCTTTCCCCCACTTTTAGAAGGCTGAAATGTCACTCCTGAGACCTCGGATGCTGTTATTCCTGGAGTTTTGGTTCTGCTTTTTGCCTTGAACTCCACCCACTTTGGGGATTTGCAGGCTAAATGAAATTCAACCCCCCACATTTAAATGCAGGAATGTGCAACACTTGTTTGGAGACCTTGTTGCCTGTGAGTTTTGAAGGAATAGTGTACCCCAGCACGGCAATGGTAATTCCTACCCATCCCATCTCACCTTTCATGTCACAGCACCATGGTGGACCCCTTCTCGATTGTGAAAGCCATGTTCCTGTTAAGCTGTAGGAAGGATGGTTATAGTCCAAAGAGAGTTCCCCTCCAGAAGGGCAAAATATAATTTTTTTTTGTGCTGAAATAAACTTGCAGTTTCGCTTGCTTACTAGTGTGCTCTTGAATAAAAATAGAAAGGTTTTTTTTTTTCAATTCATGTTAATTCCAAAGTAGAACCTAGGAAAAGCTCTGCTGTATGAGACCCAAGGTCTGTCCAGTCCTGTGCTCCTTACACACAGTGGCAAACCAGCTGCCCGCAGGATCCCTCCAGCAGGAGGGGTGCAGGATCCCCTTCTGCCCAGCTCCTCAGCAACTGGCGTGTGCAGGCAGGCCGCCCCTGGTGAAGGAGGGCGCACGTGGCCAGCAGGGCTAGTAGCCACGGAGAGCCCCCTCCTCCTCCATGAATCCATCCAGTCCCCCTTCAAAGCCACCCAGATTGGCAGCCATCACCACTTCCTGTGGCAGCCAGTTCCATAGTTTAACCACACACTGGGTGAAGAAGGCCTGCCTTTTATCTGTCCTAAACCTCCCACCCATCAGTGTCCTGGGATGACCTCTTTGGAGTCGAAAAAAAGGTCTCCCTTTCCATTTTTCTGTACAAGGCACAGGAAACCTGCCAGGAAGGACAAGATGGCAATCGGACTCAGCAGAGGATGTTCTTGCCGATCACACGCATGGTGCCCTTCTGGCCAGTTTCCTGCTAGATTCTGAACCTTTCATTCCATCTAGTCCAGCATTGTGAACACACGGTGGCAAACCAGGTTCCCACAGGAAGACCCCCTCCAGCAGATGGGGGCGAGACCTGCCCAGCTCCTCAGCAACAAGTGTGTGCAGGTGAGCCGCCCCTGCTGAAGGAGGGAGCACATGGCCAGCAGGGCTAGTAGCCACAGATGGCCTCCTCCTGGGAATTCTGTTGGGGAGCATCTCGGTGGGTACACAAAAGCTGCAGTCGGCATGTCCATTCTTTAAAAAGGGGGTGCGGCCCTCTTATTTATTTGTTCAGTTATTCTTTACTCCATTTCTCTACTGCCACTTAGCCAAAGCTTTCAGGGTGTTTCTCTGGTATTCTCTGCCACCCATTTTCTCTTGCTTTCTTTTTAATTGCTCCCCCCTCTTTCCATTTGTCGCCCCTTTCTCTTTTCCTGGCCTCCGTTTCTCGCTTGCTTGCTCTTTCTGCCGCTCCTTTTCTCTTTTGCCTCTCTCTCTCTCTCTCTCTCTCTCTCTCTCTCTCTCTCTCTCTCTCTGTGTGTGTTCCTGCCACCCTCTTTCCGCTTCTGTTTCTGCCACTCCCTTTTTGCTCTCCTCCCCCTCTTCCTTCTCTTGCAGCAGGTTTCAAGAGAAGGGACAAACTACTTTTACAGGAAGACTTCACTAATCACATACACAGGGTTTCTGAAATTGCCTGAAGACTGGAGAATGCTACTAGATACTCTGTAAGCATATTATATATTGCAAACTGCTTTTGACAACATGCCCAAAATTTGGTGAATCCTGAGAGCCACACAGCAGCAGCTCCTAATGTTTCAGGGCCCGCAATATCCCCTTCTAGGTTTAGATGTCTACTTAGCATCAGAATGAAGGAAGAGCTACTCCAGTGTCCGAGAGTGGACAACTCTTGGGAGGGCTGTGTTAGGGCTCCAGGCGTCTCCCATGACTGTTGCTCTGCCTGATTGTTCTCCGGGTCCGTGGGCAGAGCCAAGGCAAGGTGAGCAACAGAGGATGAAGGACCAAGGCAACAGAAGATCAGGCAAGAGAGCTCAAAGCAGGGTTTGACAGAAGGGCCAAATCATAATCCATTACGAAAGATGCAGGTAAATTAGGAAGGGTCCAGAGGAGGGCAACAAAAATGATCCAGGGTTTGGAAACACTGCCCTGGGAGGAGGGACTGAGAGAACTGGGCATGTTCAGCCTTGAGAAGAGAAGGCTGAGGGGGCATGATACCCTTCTAGAAGTACCTCAAAGGCTGTCACAAAGAGGAAGGAGAAGATCTCTCTTCACTGATACCAGAGTTGAATAATCAAGTTGCGACAACCCAGGAAAAGCTTCCTCACTCTCAGAGCAATAGGGCAGTGGAACCAGCTGCCTGGGGAGGTGGTGGGCTCTCCCACATTAGAGACATTCAGAAAGAAACTGGTCAGCTATCTCTGGGATGGTGTGATGTGGTGTCCTGCAACAGCAGGGGGTTCGACTCAGTGGCCTTCACGGCCCCTTCCAGCTCCACTAATCTATAGTCATGTCCCAGTCTGAGGTCAGGAACCAGAAAAATGCAGAACAAGGATGATGACAGGAACAAGCACCAGGAGGACAAACAGGTGCCAGGTACCCTGGAAAGGATAACGGGGCAGGAGACGTGAGAAAGGAGGACCAGGTGCAGCAAGGCAAGATGCAGGAGCTGACCCACAGGAAGCCCTGCGCTGATGAGCCAACTTGGCCAGGCAGGATGCCCAGATGAGGCAAGAGGCAGGCACAGCTGCCAGGCCACAGGGAACCAGGAGCGGGCGCCGTTAGGCAGGATGCAGGCACGGCAGCGAACCTGTGATGCTGAGGCAACGCGGCGAGGGGGAGACGGGACAAGATGCAGGAGGGAGAGAGGTCAGGTAGGACGCAGGTGCAGCAGTGAACAAGGGGACCTGTGCTGCCGAGCACAGCAAGGCCAGAGCCGGAAGGCAAGGTGCAGCCACTGCAGGGAGACCTGTGTTGCTGGGGCCAGTTGTGGAGGGAAGAGCTGGTGCTTACAGAACCTTCCCCAGGGTTCCCGGCTGGTGCTGATCAGCAGAATGAGTGCTCCAGCAGGGCTTGGCACTGATCCTGCAACTATAGTGGCACTTCTGTGTCTGGCCACCAGAGCCACCCAGATCCTGGCCTAGC